AAAAACCCATTGGGAAAAAAGCTCACCCTCTCTCTCATCTTCTCCTTGTCCTAAAGTATCTTCTTTCAGCTTGAGGATATGTTTCATTAAACTTGTTCACCATTTCTCTTGCATTTTCCAAATTTTCTTCTGGTTCCCACGAATCATGATATGCTCCATAACCTTTCCAACTAACCAAATACTCTATCTTCTTTCTGATTATTCTCTTATTCAATACTTCTTCTACCTCAAATTCTTCATGACCTTCTACTTCTATCGGTGGTAGTTCAGTCTCAACTTGCCCTCTTATTTCGCTTTTGGTAAATTTTCTAAGCAAGTTGACGTGAAACACCGGATGAACTTCTTTCATTTCCTTTGGTAAAATCAATTTGTAGGCGTTAGTTGATATTCTGTCAGCAATTTTATACGGGCCAATCCATCTATGGGAGAACTTAGCGGTTGGCCTAGTGGTGCTGATATGCTTGCTATTGAGCCACACCTCTTCTCCTTTCTTCCACGTCGGCGTGCTTTGCACTTTCCTGTCAAATTGTTCTTTCATTGATTTTTGAGCGTCTTCCATAGCCATCTTTAATTCATCTTGCACTTCCTTTATTAATTTCATCCTTTCTTCGGTCGCAGGTAGGCATTGATCTTTGCTGGGTGTTCCTGTTAGGCTAGCATCGAAGCCATAGTTAGCCTTAAAAGGAGACATCCCTATTGAAACGTGAAAGTTGTTGTTATATGAAAACTCCGCCAGAGGTAGGAGATCTTTCCAATCATCTTGTTTGTAAGATACAAAATGTCTCAGGTATTGTTCAACTGCTTTGTTCGTGATTTCAGATTGTCCATCTGTTTGCGGATGGTACGCAGTCGATGATTGTGTCCTAATGCCTAGTAACGAATTCATCTCTTTTGTCAGCTTTGATATGAAAATATTTCCCCTATCAGACGTTATTGATCTAGGGGTTCCATGTATCTTCCACACGTTATGAAGCATTAACTTAGCTAGTTCTTCTGAAGTCATCGTTTTCCGGCATGGAATAAAGTGAGCCATTTTACTGAATCTGTCTACGACCGTTAGGATGCAGTCGTACCCTTCTGAATCGGGTAGATCTGTTATCATATCGTAACAGATGTCTATCCAGGGACCTTGTGGGATCGGTAGTGGTTGGAGACTCCCAAACGGCCTGTTCGTCCTTGCTTTAACTCGTTGACACGACTGACAACCGTCTACATACTTGTTGACGTACATCTTCATCAAGTTCCAGTGGAAGTTCCTCTTCACTAACATTAATGTTCTCATTCTACCAGGGTGTCCAACTAACTTGCTGTCGTGGCGAGATTGAAGGATTTTCAGTTTGATGTCGTTGTTGTCCGGGACTACGACCTTGTCTTTGTAATACAATACTTCGTCCGTGATTGAGTAATTTGCGATAGCTTTTGAATTTGGTAATTCTCGACACAGTTTCATTATCTCATTAATCTTCTTGTCTTTAGCTGACTCCTTTCTGATTTCTGCTACTATTTCATCATCTGTCCAGATCTCCTCTAACAATCCAATTGTTTCAATTTCACATTCCACCTCTTCTTCATCTACAATCCAACTTTCCATTGCATCCAGGCTATCAATGAATGCGTCTTGAGGTAAATTCTCAGGTTTCAGTAAACGCCCAAAGGTTAGTTTGTCACCTGCCTCCGGTTTCAGATCGGGTCTTCTTGAAAGTGCGTCGGGTTTTGTGGATTGCTTTCCAGGCCTGAACCGGATCTCGAAGTCAAAGCTTCCAAGAATCTCGGCCCACCTGGCCTGTCGTCGAGTGAGTTCCTTTGTAGTCATTAGTGATTCGAGGTTCTTGTGGTCTGTATATACGATCACGTTCAGTCGATGTGGGTTTCCCTCTAAGTAATGTCTCCATTCTTTAAATGCTGAGATGACTGCTAATAATTCTTTGTCGAAAACTTCATAATTTCTTTCCGCTTTGATCAATGACCTCGACAAATATGCAACAGGATGTAGCTCATTGTCCTCATCTGACACTTGGGACAGGACCGCTCCTAAGGCGAAGTCCGAGCAATCGCATTCCAGGATAAATGGTCTGTACGGGTTTGCTATGGTTAGGACCGGAGCCGTAGTGAAAGAATTCTTCAGGCTTTCGAAGGCGTCGTTGCGTTCCTGGGTCCATTCGAATTTAACATTATCCTGCGATAGTTCGTGGAGCGGCCTAGCTATCTTCGAAAAGTGGTTGATAAAGCGCCTGTAGAAGTTTGAGAATCCTAAAAATGTGAGTACTTCAGAAAGGTTCTTCGGTGCTGGCCATTCTCTTACTGCCTTTACTTTAGTCTCATCCATCTTGATCTGATTTTTTGAAATAATTAAACCTAGGTACGCCACCTCTTTTTGAGAGAATTTGCACTTCTCAGGCTTGAGCCAGACATTTTGATTCCTAAGGATTTCAAGGATTTCTTCAACGACTTTCTCGTGATCTACACCCGCTTTCGTATAAATCAGGATGTCATCTTGGTAAGCAGCCACATCTATACCTATATGAGCTTTTAAAATGTCTTGTATAAAAAACTGAAAGAAGCCTGGTGCGCCAGTAGGTCCGAACGGCATCGTCAAGGGTTCAAATTGACCTGCTTTACATGTAAACGCCAGTTTAGCTTCATCCCCTTCCCTCACCCTCAGGTTATTGTAACCATTTCTCATATCTAAACTAGTGAATTGATCAGCGTCGAGTAAGCTATCTATCAATTCCATAGTTAATGGAAGAGGATATTTATTCTTAACCGTAAGTGCATTCAGTTTTCGATAGTCAAAACAAGGTCTGAGGTTTCCGTCCTTTTTACCAGTGAATAGGACCGGCGCCGCCCATGGAGAGGTTGTCCGTCTCAAGGTTCCATTAGCTAATCCTTTCTCTAACATCTCATTCAAGACTTCAGTTTCTCTTGGTGATAATGGTATGATTCGGCCTGATTGGGGGGTTGCTCCTGGGACTAAGTCCACTCGAAAATCGTACTGACGATGAGGCGGAAGAACGTTAGAGTTTGCTTTCTCAAACATTCCCAAGTACTCATGGTAGCATTGAGGAACTAATTCAGCGGCTGTCTTTTCAATTTTGTCCTTCGAAGCCTCTACAGCTAGTCGTGTCGAAACATTCCAAGAGGCCGTTGCGGCATCAATCATTGATCTAGTCGGCTGAGCGGTGAATTTGGTACCTAAGGTTCGTCGGGTTCCTATTTTTCCATATCTTGCACAAGGGGAAAATTGCTTGCCAATATTTTCAAGACGAGATGATTTAGGATCGGTAGCAAACTCACTCTGCGGGGGTATTTGCAAGTTATTTTCAAACTCTACCCCCTTCTCGATGTTCCTAGCTTTCCTCTCAGGCCTCATTACGTGGTCTGTCGAGGTTTTTGTCGGATTATCGAGCGAGTGCTTTTCGTCTGGGTTGTCTGTCTTAAAATTCAAAGGAGGATCCTGATCGCTAATCTTTACTTCTTCTTTGATAACATTAGGGACATCGAACTCACATTGCGGGGGCATTTGTGAGCTATCTCTAGACTCTACCCCCTCGTCACTAAACCTAGCGTTCCCCTTAGGCCTCAATACGTGGTCCTT